GCAACTGCAAGCGAAGATTTGCAGCTTGTCATAATCTCTTCCCAAGAAAGCAATCCGAGCTCATGACAAACTTGCATGGCGGAAAGATGCCTAGCATTCAACCCTTCTTCCTAATGCCTACTTTTCGGTGGGATTAAAACTATACCACTGACTTGCACCATGAACCTTATAGTCTTGAGTAGTATACATCAGACATAGGTTTACTCTCTTAGTTAGAACAGGACTCTGTGTTTCCATGCACAAGCTGCATACATAGATCTATACAGATGGTACGACATGAATCTTTTGGTAGCCCTAATTCTGTTCTCCTTGGGCACACAGGGGAAGACATGGCACACAAAACCTCCCATAGAAAACCACTGGGAGTTGTTTAGGATGCTGCCAAAATCCCATAACATTGCAAAGCACCTTTCCAGACCCAAGTCAAGGCGTTAACCTTGAAAGCCCTTTGTGGCCTGGGACCTGCACATCATGGAGAACATCTCCATCTCTTAAGACAATCACATGTCTGCACCAGCGCATGAGAAAGGTTACTTTTATAAACTACTGCTCCCAGCTTCTCCAACCAGCATGATTGATGATTCTGAAAGTTATAGTCCACCAAAACAGCTTTCTGCAAGCCCTGCTCTGCACACATTGATTGCCATGTATGGCAAGAGGAGGTTGTGGGGTTTTTTTTTAATCACTGTTCCATGGCTAATTTCCCTGATGGTTTTGTTCCCTGTTCTCTTGAAATGCATGAAAATGTACACAAATTTTATTCTGCACACAGTTCACAGTTCTGATGAGAAACAACAGTAAATAGACAGAAATACAGTATTGACAAGCAGGCCTCGCTGACGTTATCATTATGCTTTGTTCTCCTACCATTAAAAAAATTAATTGCAGTACGGGCAAAACGGCCTCATCTATTTTTTTGTTTTATGGTAAGATATGGTTCTTATGCAAGTATATCAAAGCATTCAAATGAAGCATTCCTCATAACAACGACAAAAGGGAATATGTTTTTTTGTCTGACCAGTTATTTGACCTAATCATACATATATTTCAGTACCATATACTTAATGGTGGCTATGAACAAATTTAAATGCAGGTTTATTTTCTGTAACAATACACTTGGGAGATAAGAGGCAGCCATTTTATCTTTGCAAGCACGAAATACCTTCCGATGGGAGGTGGCTTTTTTGTCTGCTCATTTATTGTACCAACTCCAACCTGTTATTATGTTCCCTGAAGAATGCTACTGGAATTTAGGTAAGGGAGATGTTGCAAGACCTTAGCTTCTAGATTTAAAAGGAAAATGCTAAACTGTGACAAGAGATTTTTCTGGATGGAGCTATCTGGTCCTACATCTGTATTGCCATGTCCGGCCCTTCACATCCGGTGGCAACGATGTGAAGGCATGATGTGAAGGAGTCATCCTGCCTTGATTCCTTTTTTTAAGGGGAAAGGCGGAGTGAAAAAGACTTTAAATAAATAAAACCAAAAAGTCACTTTTTCAGAACTGCTTTGCAGTTACGTTACAAACGCCTCCAAAACAGGCCAGCCTGAGGGAAGAAAATACGCCCTTCAATTCAGAGTATTTCTCTGCCCTGTGTCTCTTTAAAAGAAGAACCACTGATATAAGTCAATAGTTGACAATCCTATTCATGGATAAGGAGCCATTGCTTGACAACCAAACCCTCCTTTTGCTACCTCTCTTGATTTTCTGTTCCATGAGCTGCTGTGGGCAGAATGCTACGCTTCATAGTCTCTGGCTTAAATCCTGGAGTCACCCCACTGATAAAAGCTAACTTACCTTTCGGCCTTGGCCATCATTCTGACATGGAAATAACAGCCTGACTTATACGGTTATTGTGAGGCCTATTGTGACTGTAGGCAAAAAACTTTGAACATTCTTAAATGCTCCATGAATGCTACACACCCCTATTATTCATTAGATATTAGATGTTTCAATTGTGCCTGCAAGACTACTGTTAATAGAACTAAAATATCCACATGTTTTGGTGCTGAAGACAGGACTTTTAAATATATAACATAGACCGCTAGTCTATCAAGATGGCTTGCCACTTCTACTGAGACGCTAGCACACGTCTCTCCCCTCGTGTGACTGATTTATCTCACTAGCATTTACGCATTGATACGTGATTTTGCAATCCTCTCTCTGCAACCTTCGTGATGCGCAAATGGAGGCCCAGTAATATTGGTCTCTACTGGTCTCATCTGGCATGCATCTGCATGCAAAGGAACAGCCCTTTGTGAAAGTTAGTCTAAGCTCACACTTATGCACTGTAACACAATATTTAAAGGGCTTTTCTGTAGGGAGGGGGTTATGATTCACCTCAGATGAAAGTGTTTGTCTTCCTTTAGACACGTAGTAGGATGCAAAAATATTGTGCCAACAGCATGCCAGCATACCCTAAGTACAATGCCCCAGTGTCTTTACATTCAGTGTTAATTCTGACCATAAAGCATGTCCTCACCTACGTATTTAGTTACCATGATCTGCTCAGCAATGAAATAGAACTACCAGGAGACCGCAGATTTGAGAGCTCCTTTTTCAAGATCCCTAATGGAACCATATTCCTAAAGCATATGGCTGAGGCTGGATCTCACTTAGAATTCCATCAATCTTATAACACCATCATTGTGCCTTTCGTGCTTAGCCACACACCAGAAATCATTGCCTATACCTTATTTCATCTCTCAATGATCTAAAGAGGATTAATGAACAACAATGACTTAGAAAATGCAGTGTGGAGGGAGGAAAATCCTGGTACATATTTGCACCAGACTTGATTTAGGCGTGATTCCAGTTTCGAGTTGCAAAAAAGCAGATCTCATAACTCTTGGCAGTGAAGAGCCAACGGAAAGAAGGCTCCTTACAACTGGATAGAGACATGAAGCATGAAGGATATGACGTAACACCATCCTGCTAAGGTGCAGGATGCAGAAGGATGATAGCTGAAACCATGTATTTTATGTGACTGTATCTTCTACTGTGAGTATATAGGCTCGTATTCTTGGAAAAGGGAAACTTTGGCTTTGGGCATGGCTATTGAACGTTCTCTTGCTTAAAAGTTGATCATTTTAAGAGAGAGCCAATCTGATCTATGGGAAGAAGTGTTGCGTCCGGACTGCAAAGAGTGGGGATTGAATCCTCAACTCAGCTCCCTTCAGTTCACAGGCAAATTACATTTTTCTACTTCACAGGGTTGTCGTGAGGATGACGTGGGGGGCTACAGTAATGAGGAATGGGTTGTGTCACATTTTCCTAGGGCTAGAAGACAGGAGAGGCCCAAGACATTAATCATCATAACCTAATCTGCTGCCCCAGTTAAAATTTCTCAAATGATCTGCAGTGAATCTGCAAGAGAGAGAGAGCGAATCTGCAAGAGAGAGAGAGAGAAAATACTTCCCCACACTGACTTTCTTGCAGAAATGTCCCTTACACAGAAACAGCAGCTTACCCCCAACACTGGGCCACAGATGCAGGAATCAAATCCTGTACAGGCCGTCCATCTAAGTAGAGCAACAGGATTGCAAGACTGTATATCATGTACTCAGCATCAGCAGTTGATACACCTGCCTATTTCTCTAGTGTCATCACCTGTGAGCAATGCCCCTGATACTCCGTCCACATTTTATCAATGATTAGACATAGATCAGCCATCAGATATGCCAACACAACCACGTTAGTGGGAGGCTCATTACCATGGCCATTTTTTTGTGAAAATTCAACCCCAGCTTCCTCGTCTCAGATGTTCCTAGACAAAAATACATCTACGAGCTTGTGAATAAATGTCTTCTGCTTCAGTTTATTTTCACGTGCTTTCTGGATATAGTTATTATAAAATTTCATTTTATAAAACACCTCTTTCCTCCTGCATGCATGTATATATGTTTAGTATGTAACTATAAATAAGGGCCACAAAGTTTGATGATTGATTCACTTTTCATTATTTAATTTAAAGAAATTTCACTTGAGTAAAAGACGTTCCCAATTAACTGGAAATTTCACTTGAGTAAAAGACATTCCTAATATTTATGCAAACCTTTTAATTCTTTTTTTAATCTAATGATCAAACCTATGGCCAGCAGGCAACAAGGATTTTCCCCCCATCCATATCACTAAAGATGGGACATGTTTTCTGGGATGGTGGCCACCATAATACATGCATGCATCCCTTGAAAGCATTTGTTTTCATTGGGACTTTTGTTTTTATATGCAAATGTATTGAAAGTTAATTAAGCAGAGCCCATAGGATTAAATGAGAAAGGTTTCTGTAATTGCACTACAGCCCTGGCCTCTTGCCTCCTCAAGCTCATGCAACAAAATATTTATTAGCTTTCAAATGTTCTAAAACAACAGACACGTTCTGCTCCCCATTGTCCTTCACATCCTGTCAGATAAAGACTAAAGACATTCCCAAGGGTTCATCTATCTGCTTGCAGGGACCTTTTACTTCAAGATCCTTCCGGATTTCGACAATGAATTGAGTGGTCCTATTGGAAAGAGCAGACCAATAGCCCTGCCTATATCCGTAGAGGGCTTTTTCCGACACCTCCAGCAATGTACGGTGAAAAGGCAAAGGGCAACCCTATTGGAAGTTGCCAAATGGACACTGCATTTTCACAACAGGGTCTGTACTGCGTATGCTTGGATACAAAAGCTCTCTCACCAGTGCTGTGAAACATGGAAGTGGAAGTGTAGCAGGATCCAGGCCAAAGCTATGAAGGGCAAGTCAATTGAAGATTGAGGAACTGAAGAAGACAGAGAGACAGAAAGATGGATGGATGGATGGATGGATGGATGGATGGATGGATGGATGGATGGATGGATGGATGGATGGATGGATGGATGGGTGGATGGGTGGATGGGTGGATGGGTGAATGGGTGGGTGGATGGGTGGGTGGGTGGATGGATGGATAGATGGATAGATGGATAGATAGATAGATAGATAGATAGATAGATAGATAGATAGATAGATAGATAGATAGATAGATAGATAGATAGATAGATAGATAGATAGATAGATAGATAGATAGAACATGCCCCCCCACTTTCCCCCTATATTCTAAAATCAGACACTGGAAATTTTCCTCAGTAGCTTTGGACACCTCTCCAGTCATTCCAATTTGAACGTAACTCAACTTCTGAAATAATGAAGAAGGCAAGCAGCACACTCATTAGTGGCGTCAGCCATAAATACAGACTAAAGGCTGACAGAGAGAGAGAGTCAGGCAAAATCAAAGCAAGCCGCCTGTTGTGACTCGAGGTTAAACCAGAAACCATGGCGGACTTGAGAGGGCCGAAGGGATTTTCTTTACAGAAAGCGTGATGCGTACTGAAACAAGGCACAATACAAAGAACAGAGGTAACGTCTCAGCGGCAAGGCCCAGCTACTATGAGCTCAGTGTCAATTCCCCCTCTGATTCGTTATATCTAAGAGAAGCCCCATTCAGCAATGGGGACGCCTCGCACACAACTTATGGAAGTTCTGGCTGTGTTGGTTGGGCTGCACACCGTGAGGAACCTAGAAGATCACGCTAAGGGTCCTTCCTGCGTACTGCTGAAAATATCTCTTTTCGCCTCCTTTCTGAACTCTCCAGAATGGTAATCATGACATGTAAGGTGTGAAATAAGCATTCTAAACTTGAATAACAGGCCCTGGGAAACTGGCTATGAAAATGTGAATGAGTGCCGAATAACTGTAGTGCCCCATGTCGTGGAGAACCAGCACAGCCTTGAAGAAGAGCGTTCCTGAAGTCTGACCACCAGCCTCGTCCCAACCCATGGCTTTTACTCCCATGGAGGCACATTCTCTCCTGCGTTACATAACAGCATTCCAAAGAGTGCTAAAAAACACTGAAACGTCAGAGCGTGCAAGTCAAGAGCTGGTTTGATGCCATCCCATGGATGGGGATTAAAAAAAAATGACTGAAGCAGTTCATGTGAAAATAGCCGAGCTTACTACAGCAGACTTCATTGTTCTTTGAGTTCAAGGACTCCCACTGTAACTGCAACTCTGTTCCCCAATTCCACCGCTAAGAGACTATAGTCTTCACTCGCCATTCAAACATCACCCATCTATTGTACAACTCTTGTTGACACCTTACTACTGACCTGTCTGTAACTGTAATTGAACCACCCTGTTTTCAACATGCCTTATGGACCTGTTGCCCCTCCCTCAAGGCATAATGAGTGATATGTTTTATTCTTTTTGTTAACACCATACTATTTGTGTGTTATGTGATTTGCTAGCTCAGTGCCATTACCTCTTATTTGGTAATGATGTAAAAACGGTTTTTCACCGATTTCCTCCACCACCCTCTCAAGCGACGCCTGTAGCCTCGTGGCATCAAAGATGACCAAGAGCCGGGACGATCTACCCTGGGGTACAACAATACAGTTTGCTATCGATTTTTAGAAAGGCTGTAAGAAAGAAATCCAGACATCCCAAGGCGTGAAATAATTTGCTACGATGCCCCTCTCTCCTGGGTTGTGAACAGGCACAGCCGGCTCTGCTCCCCAACACCCAGAATAAGCTGTTGAGCAAACTCACACCGCTTTTGGATCACAGAACGTGAGCAATCCATTTCGTGAAGACGTCTGGTCGGCGGGCGTTACCACTGGCCCAGGCTCTTGATGCCATATTCAGGCTTCACTGTCTAGGCGTTGGCTTCACTGTCTAGGCGTTGACCACCCCATGTCACTGAAAGGCCCCTCGCCGGTGGCTGACCTTGGTGGAGGTCCACATGGCGTGCAGAGGTCGGAATCTGTATCCGATTCCCCCTCTGCAATATAAGGTCTGATTTTGGCCACAGCGGTGTAGCAACCGTTGTTCAGTATGTCCAAGTTCTCTTTGGACTGGGAAATGCTAAATCCGCTGAAGGAGCGCTCCAGTTCCTCGTGGTCAACCGACGGGATAGAAATAGAGGTGTCGCTGTCCCTCAGGGCACTCTCAGCGTGTTTAGTAGTCACGTCTTCGTTCTTGGCGTACTCGGCGCTGGCCCGGTTGCCGCCGCTGTACGCAGACGAAGAGCGCTCATGGGAAGGGGGCGGTGGGATTCTCACCAAAGAGCCCGGCTCACCCACCGGGGAGGCGCCACGGCTTTGCCGTGGGTAGGGATGCCAAGAGGTGGAAGGAGGGCAGTTGTTGTTTGGCACCGTGGTGGCCGGTGGTGCAGAGAAATTCTTCTGCCCCACTGAACTGGTAGAGTGAATGATTTTGATGATGCACCCATTTTTGTCAATGTGCTCCCGGCTGTCTTCGGGGCTGTGATAGGGCGGCGCTGGGTCAGGTTCTTTGGACCCAAAATAGGCTTCAGTTTCTGTTGGGGGAATTCCCATCCGCTGCATGTAGATGTTCACTAGGAAGTCCAGCTTCTTCTCCATGGACTGCACCTGGAAAATGCCACACAGATCCCCTTGCTTAATGGCCCTGAAGAAATTATTGCCAAACAACTTTATGGAGTCACTTTTTACATCCCTCCCCCCAACACCTTTTCATTCCTTAAAGGCTACCTTAAAGACAAGGTGTTCTTTGAGCTATGAAAAAAGAGACATCTTCTTTCCTACTGGCAGACCCAAACCGTGGAAGAAAGAGGTATGAAATTTTGCAATGTAAACTATCCCAAAGTCACAAATAATCCCTCCTCGCTGTCTTAAACACACTGTCTGTATTCCTATTTAAATAAAGTAGAAGGGCACAGGAACTCCATCTGCCTGTATTAATCAAAATGGAGATGGGAGCCAAAAGGAAACATACGCACAAACACAATCAAACGTACAAACCAAACATTGCTTTTAAAGCTTGTGCCAATATTAACCACCTCATCCTCCAGCTTTGGAGAGTAGAAGGGTGAGCTAAAGAATTGCAAAAGCTGTTGCTGAAGATGCTATCAAAATACATTCAGCTTTTCATATAGAGTATCTTTTTCCCTAAGACTTCAACACACAGCCATGAGTACAATGATTTTTAAAAGAGGGAACTGGTTGTGGTCTCTGGATATGTTAAAAGTCAGACTTACATAAAGTACATTACAGTAGAGTGGTTTGCAGGTTATGAGGGTCTGACTGACCACAGCAAAGTCCAATATTATCAGGAAGGACTGTAGTTAGCAAACCCACCAAATCTGGAAACAAGGATTGATCATTAAACAGATCAAGAGATTTCCCTAACCGAAACTTGAAAGCTGATCTTGAATGATCCGCTAAAAACAGTGGTTCCCAACCTGGGGTCCCCAAATTTTCTTGGACTACAACTCCCAAAAATCTTGGCCAGCACAGCCGATGGTGAAGGCTTCTGGGAGTTGCAGTCCAAGAACATCTGGGGACCCAAGGTTGGGAACCACTGGCTGAAACATTGCAAATCGGTGGCAGCAACTCATCCAGAATACAATGAATATCCAAAGCCTAACTCAGACTATTTATATATCTGCAAGGAAAGCAGTGTGAGACAGAAAGATTTGCATCGTCAGACCAATAGCCATTTTAGCCTCCACTCTTCCATAGCTGTCTCCAAGGACTTCCCATTCCTCTTTCTACATCAAAGGAGAAGTGAGCCTCCAAGCCCTCTTTTGCTGGCTCCTTTGGAGGTCACCTGTGGCTTGCCCCCACTCTTCCATCATGGACTGTATCATCAGACACTCAGCCCGACCATCCTACATCCTTCTCCCTCCTCTACATCTTGCTTTCAAAAATCACATCAAAAGAGGCTAGACTCCGTAACGTAAGAATTCTCAGACATACCTGTTTTTCCACCTTCCCAAGTCTTCCCATCATACTTGGATCTTCCTGAAGCTCCCCTTCAGCCGGGCCTTTGGTTCGGTCCTTATCGGTCATCGATGGCCCTCGCCCAACGATTTGGTCAACTCTAACAAGAGCACAAGCCCCACCCAGGAAAAAGCCATGATGTCAATGAGCTATAATCAAGGTCTTAGAATTCTACCGTAGTCTTGCTTTTGCGTAGAAAAGAGCTAAGGCCTTCCCCATCGCTGATGAATATCATCCAACCATTCATACACATAAAAGAAAGCAGCTAAACGTAAACGCAGAAGCAAACACACCTCTTTGTTTCTGCAAGTGGTATATTTGCTCCTAAGTCACTGGTTCAGTTTGTAGAGACATAATCTGGCACATTACGCATAGTAAATTTGCCCCTTGGAGAAAAGCTGATACCAAGCAGCATTGCTTTTAGCAACCTTTTATTAAAAGATGGATTTAAATGTTATTTCTGATCATTCAAGCCTAGCCAGTGCCTAACAGTCCTGCAACACTGCTTGCTTTCACTACATGCTCCAGAGCTGAAATAAGTAACATAAAAAGAGATTATTTCAAAGTAGGCATGAGTACAAACGTTTGAATGAAAGGTTTCTGTTTATAAGACTAAAAATTTCAACTGTATCGTAATTTGATTCTAGTTTCAGGAGAAGTTGGTTAAATTTTAAAATTCTTGTATCGTGGCTTTATTCAAAAGGGCATTTTTTTTCCTGTCAAATTTACCTGATACGATATCTGCTTATATTCAAATTATATTTCTCTGTTCATTTGTATGCTAATTTGGTACATACAAATCATGCTTTCCGTATCTTAGAAGCAAATTTCTCGGATAGGGACATATTTTGTCTGAGAACAATCACCAGCTTTCTTGAGAATCAAGACTCGGCTATATTTCCAATCTGCAACAAGGAATGAACTTTTAATTCCTACCCCTAACTTCAATGTATCCATACGGAGGATGTCACAAAGGAGGCCTTTTTAAAAACTTTTTAAAAATCATCTAGAAAAGGCAACTTTGACAAACGATGCTTTGAATAAACCAGGCTAAAGAAAGCAATGTTTATGCTAAAATTCCCTTTTCGATGTTCCTACGCTACCTGTCATATGACTTCTCTGACCTCCCATGCATTTTGATTTTCTCCAACTTAACCTTTCTTGACTTCTCTTTCTTTTTTAGAAGAGGGGCCCTCAACAAAAATTAGTTGTTTGCTTTTGGGCAGACAACACTGGTGTGATGATAAATACCAAGAAAACTAAACAAAAATTAGTTCGGTGCCAACTGGAATGCAACACCTTGTTTGCTTTTGGGCAGACAACACTGGTGTGATGATAAATACCAAGAACCAATCTGCAACCAGTACTATAATGATCTGACTGCAATAGACTCCTGGTAAGAATGCATCTTCGGTACGTAATTCTGACCTGTGGATTCTCGGTTAGGGGCTGCAGGTCTCCCTCCAGAACTGCAAGTCCTTTGACGGATGCCGTGACAGTTTAAAACTTTTGAACAGTTCAAAAGAAGTGCAAAGGGATCCGTATCTTTAGGGCAACCGTGTTGGTAGCATGTGGCTGGATAGGAAATGTGCAAGCCATTAACACCGACAGGTGATTATGATCTAAGTAGCACCAATCCACTGCTTGGCCCAAAGAGTAACTTCCATGCCTCGTAAGAGCCAAGTGCAGAAAAATCGCAAAGCCACTTTTTCCGAATCCCCTCCATAAATAATGAATAAATGTTAATACCTACACTTGAGGAAAGGCGGGCGAATGAGTCATTTTGTAAAAGTGTGCAGTGCACCCTAAGCTAATGGTACAGACAGTGACCTGGCAACACAATGCCCATCTCTTACTCAACCCTAGCAGGTCTGTTCTTGTAGGAGTTGTGGATGGAAGACTGCCTGAAAACCACACCTAAGCTGCCCTGAATTCTCTAGAGGCACGGTTCGCTCCGAATGTGACAAATCAGTAAAATTAACAGCTTGTTCTTAAAAGAATATGTCAAGGTTTCACACAATCCAGAAGGGGGTGTTGATCTAATTTCTGACACCAATCATTGGCCAGTTCTGGTAACTTCATCTTCAGAATTATATATTTCTAGGATTTTTCTTTTAATATTTTTAATATTTTCAGACCATGGATAAATGAATCAGCAGATACTGATAAGGGTACACATCACTGTATAGCAATTTAAGTAAAGCTTGTGTCACCACCAAATGATAAATCAGAAGGTATTCTTCATTCTGCATCAAGAGCTGGCTATCTGCTCTAACCTTAAAGCATTAACATTAACCATGGACAATTTTACTTTTGCATAATATGCCAGAAGTGCACTGGGTGATGTACAAAACGAGACAACATTAACATTTAAAAATACAAGTATTTTCATTTGTCCAAAACCAAGATAGTTGCCCGGAGTGGACCAAAAAAACAAGGCCGCTTATGCAGTTCTGCAGTGTAGGCAAGAGTTCCATGCACAAGGAGGTAGATGAGAGTCATGAGTTCGAATGCAGACAAAGGAAGGGAAGGGAAGGATTAAGAAGATGAAAGATTTCGTAAAGCACTTTGCAAAATTAAAAGTGCTCTCTCGGGTACATGTTGTAACAAAACCAAGGAAAGGGGGACGACAAGAGGCCATTTCCAACAATACAGCCGCGCGAGTTGCCTTAATCCGGTAGAAACAAGGTTGTAGTTTAATCTGTGTCTACACTAACGGTGATTGTTCAGAACACGGAGACTGCAGTCATAAAGGAATTAAGTGCCCAGTTCATAAACCATAACCTGGGCTTTATCATGGGGTATAGTGCTGCACCCTCCACTGTTTCACCACACATCTAATGTAGCCTATGGGCTGGCATTATCTACTGACTTACAGCCAACAGCCCTTTTCTGAAGGAGGGAAGGGCTACTCATGACTGAGCATCAGCATGGAAATCAACATCCTACACTCATCAGGAGGAGGCCCAGCAGGTTGCATCACCTTGGAGACTGAAAATCCTACACAAATCTGGGGAAGGTGCACAGTTATAACATCTGTGCATGTGGACAATACCTGCGATAAAGGCAGTTCTGTGTTTTAAGGCATTCATCCGATCAATAGGGACTGTCAACTTCCCTTGTGTTTTTATTGCACATGTCAACAGCCTGCATTTTAGATGCAGGAAAAGTCCTATGCAGGCCAGCGTAATGTAAAAATATACCAGGGGAAATGTGCTGGGCGTTATGCCCGGCAGTACAGGATGGCACTATGGAACTGAGCAATTAGTGGCACATCCTCAGCACAGCCAATCATGGCAATGGAAGTGCTTTGGGAACAGCACTTATATCTCAGCACCAGTGCAATGACGGAGTTGCACAACCGAATTCTGGCCAGTGCTTTTTATAATGCTAAGCTCTACTCCGTGGCTCACAGTTAATGTTCTTTGCTGGCAGAGAATCTCTAGCCAACACTCCTACTTTGGAATAGCACAAAACCATTGGATGTCCTTTGAAACAAGTTGGAAGAGTACTCATTTCCTTTTGTCTGGAGAAATGGGTCTGCATGTTCGATTTGTTGGAATACTTCTCTCCACGAGGTGAGCTGTTTAGAAGCTGATTCATTTTCAACAGCTCTATAAATCTGTTTTATGAACTTAAGTGTAGTCCCATCAGAATAGGATTCTTCTCTCAATTTAAAATACATTGCCCTTTCTGCAACCAGGTGTCCTCTCTGTGCACTGGATTATGTTTTACTCATCAGAAAGCCTCTCTACATCACCTAAAAATGCAGAAATGGGGGGGGGGGTTGTCTCTGGCTTCTTTGCTCATTTCTAAATAACTCCACATTTGTTTCAATGAAGAAAGTTCATGTTCCAACCCAGAGGCCATTAATACATTAACTGGGTTTTTTTGAAAAAAAGAAATCCACAAAAAAGATGGGGCAAGTGTACATTTTTTAAAAAGTAAGAATGTCACAAATTTATATTAAAATCCAAGTTCATCAGAAGACAGATTACAAGCCCCTACTGAGTTACATCTGACAGCAAACTTGCGTTGTTACTATGAGTGAAATAACTCAGAAACAGAATGTACAGGGTTTTGCTCCCGAGTGTGTTCCTGATCGCAGCCTGTATTAAATGAGGAAAGTCTTCTGAGTAGGAATAATTCAGCCGCTACTCCGTAAAGGTTACAGATTAACTAATGTATATGAGATAGGAATATAATATATTTAAAGAGAAAAAGAAGAGCTGAACTAAATTGGATCAACGGTCTATTTAGGGAAGCATATATTTCCCCACAAGGACCCACCAAATGCTTCTGGAAAATCCAAAAGGAAGAAATGACAGGTAGGGACTACATTTTTGATATGTACGCTGAAGACAACCTCTGTTGGTTTTTGCCATATCTACACGAATGAAGAGAAATGTGGACTAAGTCGTGTATGGCTGTTGTAGGCTTTTCAGGCTGTCTGGCCATGTACTTGAGCACACGGCCAGACTGCCCGAAAAACCTACAACAACCATCGGATCCCGGCTGTGAAAGCCTTCGAGAATACATTAAGTCATGTATCTTCATTAGGAACGGCTTCTAAAATTATCTAGTGATACAACTGTATCCACAAAACTGTGATAATCTACCTGCAGTCCCCATTCACTGTAACTTAGGATAGACTAATATATGTAGTGGTGATTTTCCTTCTTTGAAATGAAGAAGGAAGGAAAGTACAGGTATATATATTTACACAGACATATATATATAAAATTTTTTGGCTCAGCCACGGTGCAGTTCTCTCACATGCTTCATTATGCTCCATGCTTACAGAAACATGCAAAGAGGTGTTTCCGAAGGTTCACCCTCTGGCCAAAAAGCAGACAGCAAAGATCAAGCCTGCTCCAATGGGGGCGCGGGGGAGATGGAAGGAAGGAAGGAAGGAAAAGAGAGAGGAATGTGTGCTGTTATTCTTTAAATGAATGCTTTTGGAATTATGTTCTAAGAACTGCCTTTTGAGCACCGTCGAGGCGTAAGCGCCGACCCCCATCATCCGTGTCACATGAGAGGCTCCTTGGTACATCTGGTATGTTTTGGGACGGTGCTGCTTTGCATTGTGAAGGCCATTGATGGGGGGGGGCATGAAGAGCTTACCCTTCCAGAGACCTCGCAATAACCACAGCATGGGTTCAGAAACATCCCATTCCTTCCTTGGACTGGTCAGAAGGCAGATGGGAGGAACATCTCTCACAAAAAAAGGCCTGCAAGTAGAAAGCTGGCATTTCCATTAATGTCTACTCTATTTATTTTTTTTAATGGATGGCAATTGTATCTTCTCTTCCACTACAGCCCAGCAGGATTCCCTCACCTTTCGACCCAGAACATTCACCACTGGGCAACAAAGGTCAGAATGACTGAAAGGGAATGAGACTCAAGGTCTCCTATTGGGCTTTGTGGCTAAGCGGGGCTTTGAACCTATGTCTACTTTAGTCCAATACATTCCATGGAAAGAGCTTTCTCCTCCCCTCCCGCCCCGCCCACACTCATTAAAAGGGGAACATTAAAAGAAATTATTTTCTGCCTGTATTTTGAAGCCAAGCAGCTGCAAGTGGATTCTGCCATAAGATATTTCTGAATATCTACCTCAAATCTTAGCAATAGCTCAACATTACTAGCTCCATCTCTTGTATGTGGGAGCATTTCAGGGAGAAATATAGCCTGTTATATAGTGGATTTGATTCATTTTCAAACTGAGCTGGCTGGTCAAAAACTGCTATGTGCGTGGTATAAGGAGGCAAGGTTATGTTTTCTGCAGCATACTCAATTCTTATCAGATGCTATTCAGCAATATTGAAGCCTATCATCAGCTGCAGAACTGGAAAGGACCCCATGGATCACTCTGAATCTAGCCGTCAAAAAGGCACCATGGGGAATCAAACCCCCAACGCCTGGCTCCACAGCCAGATACCTAAACCACTGAGCTATCCAGCAGTCATTACCCCATGCTAAAAGAGAATGCACCCTAGAATCTCTCAATGTCCCCCTAAAACTCCAGATTGTAAGCCAAAGTTCTCAACACAGTGACTACAGATGCCAGTATTTTTCTGTAGGCAGGGTATGCGGTTTGGTATTTGAAGCTCAGATCCTACCTCTGCCCTGTTGTCTGGATACGGTTGTCGTTCTTGTATCTTGAGTGTCTTTAGCTTGAATACTGAGAAAATGAAAATGACCCTCCATGTCTGCTGTGGTGACCTTTTATGAATGGGGAACAGAGAACCAGCAATTACCGTATTTTTCGCTCCATAAGATGCACCTTTCCATAAGACGCACCAATTTTTAGGAGAAGAAAACAGGAAAATATAATCTGTTTTCTTCGCTCCATAAGACGCACAGACTTTCCACCCCCCTGTTTTGTGAGGGAAAAGTGTGTCTTATGGTGCGAAAAATACGGTATCTTGTGGCTGCAACCCAACAGCCTCAAGCACCTGAAATGTAGAGATTACCTCAAAAAAACTTTGGGAAGCCCTGTTGTAGGGGATGACTAGAAATGGTCACCAAAGCCTTACTGCCTATCGGAACACATCTCCCTAAGGTCAACTTCCTGTACCGGTTGCACCTCTCAGGAGTTGATGTTGTGGATGGCCGATCTGAGGCAAGCCAGGAAGTCTACAACTACCCTGTTTCCCCAAAAATAAGACCTGACCTGAAAATAAGCCCTTAGTAGGATTTTTCAGGATGCTCATAATATAAGCGCTACCTCATAATAAGCCCCAGTTAAGTGAAACCCCACCCTACACCATTGTGCAGCAACCAGAAGAAGATGATGTGACTGTATTTGGATAAATGTAGATTGTTGTACATGAAAAAAAAATAAAGCATCCCCTGAAAATAAGCCCTAATACATTTTTGGAGCAAAAATTAATATAAGGCCCTGTCTTATTTTCGGGGAAACACGGTAGGAGCCAGGCCTTCTCAGTGGTGGCCACCTCTTTCTGGAATGAAATCCTCCTCTTTTCTGAGGAGATCCACGATGCTCCTTCCCCCCTAATATTCAGGAAGCAACTTTGCTCTTCAGGAGGCATTTCAAGATATCCTCCCTTCATAATTGTTGGCCACTTGAGTCTTATTTTTTCGGTATCTGGACCGCTGCTGCCATCTTGATTTTTAGGGCTATTGCCCTTTTATTTATTTTTCATTTAGGGATTTGGTGAGATTTGGTTGTTTTCTTTCTGTTGATTTTATTGCTGGAAATGACCCGGCGCAGTGGCAAGGCCGCTAGAGGGTGGAGTGTAAAAATGTAATTGATCAATCAATCGATCGATCAAACTCTCTTTCAGGGAAGATTAGGTGCCCTCTGGCAAGCTTTTGGTGTGAAATGGAAACGCCCTGTTCCACCCTAATGTACAGGAAGAATAACTGCACCAGGGAGATGGTGCAAAACCATAATAAGCATGATCCAAAGGGTTTGTGTACAGTGTGGTTCTTTTCCACAATGGAAAACAATGAGAATAAGTTCCATGAGATCATATATTCATGGAAGTCCATGCAGACCTTTAGCTGCTGGATGTTAGCCTCTCTCTGTATGTAAACTTTCAATCTTTGGTTAGTTAAAATCCACCACAGGTACTTTATACATCATTGCAAACTTAATCTAGCAAAGATTTGATCTCTCCATCAGGACGAAGCGGCTCTCACTGTTACAACGGTTCTATCTAAACTTCCGCAGTGCCATGTCGTGATTTTTACCCCTGCAAGCACAAAGGGATGAGAGAGTATTGAATGGCTCCGTTGAATGAAAAGTAAGCATCTTTCAGCTCTTTCCAAGTTTGCATTGCTGTGAAGGGTCCATTCTGGGTGTCTCTAAAAGTAAAAATTTTAAGCACATCCAGGAAAGCAAGCCATTCGGTGCAATATGCATTCAGCAGCACGTGACAAACGCCTCCATTTGACGTGGCATGAAAAGGGTTTGACAGAAAGCAAATGAAAGGTTCGGAGGAAAGAGGCATTTTGGCAAAATCCTAACCTAGGCGAGTATTGGGGTGAGGATCCTTTAGTTGAATACTTCTTATGCCGGGGAGTTGAAGGGGGTGGGGGACCCACAATCATATCTATCCTGGCGAAAATAAAATGAGAAGAAAACAGACACCAGCAAAACGCATAATGAAGCAACATGTTGGAGAGAAAAGTTTTGTTGGAAAAGTTGCAAAGACATGAAAGACCAACTGAAACGGGGATAAAAATCACACAACCAGGAGAAAGAGAAGAACGTTCAAAAATTATATTCAGACCAGAAAGCAATCATCGTACCATTTGATCATTTGGGAGCACACCAAATTTCACTTGCTAACTGAAAGGCCACAGAAATCCAAGCAACAATGGAATCGCCCTTATTCTGTTCAAAAGGGCAGCGGTCTGCAATGAAGAGGCAATACATGCTACCCAAGCTGGAACATTTTTTGGACAATATTCCATTGGGAATGTAGAATCCTTACTGTCACGATACATGAAAAACATTCTCAGCAGGTTTGGGAACACACAAAGCCTTGAAGGAGGCGAACACACCCATGGATGGGATGAGAGAAGAGACAGGAACAAGGTACATCAGGGACGTCATGTTATGATACACTTCACAAAAGCAACAACAGGGAAATAATGAGTGGGGAAGGAGGAAGTGCATACGGACAACTCTCCAAATTGTCATCCGATGACTGAAACGGAAAGACTGTTAAGCAGGTTCAAGTTCAAACTGCCTCTGATATAGAGTTCTTCATTTCTCTCTACCACATTAAAAACGGTGCATAAATCCTCATTTAGATGGAATGAAAATGTGAACATTTTTAGGCAACCTATTATAATAGGTAGAGTCTATCCACTGAAGAGTCAAACGGTCTTCACTACATCTCCTTACTATTTACAATAAACATTTTGCAAAAGTGTGTTTCATGAAAATTGAGTTAAAATCCTCTCAGATACAGCTTCTTAGGCCCCTGGGAGATGATTTTTTTTCAGTCAAAGTGGAAGAGATAAAGACATGGTCCTTTTTGAATATGCTTAGCACAAAAATGTCAGAGTGTTAATTTCTTTTGCTCCAGAGGAGAGATGTGCATTAACGGAGATAAGGACAAATTAGCAACAGTTCTGGAGTAGTAGGAAAAGAATATTGATTATTTTTAAGAACTCAGTTTTAATGGCTTTTCTAGGTTCCAGAAGCCAAAAACTGAAAATTTCTTAACAATTTTTTAAAACACAATTGGCGGTTGTTAGTAAATTTAAAATGTTGCTTCTGATCAAACAAACTATTTTGTGGATTCTACCCATATGCAGATCAAGATATTTCAGATTCTAAATTTTTCAAGCAGAATTTACAATGAAAATAGATCCCTCCTTTCTTTCTCTTTTTTAAAAAAGAAATTGATCTTATGCATCATCAGACTACGAAGGATTTTCCCGCTAGCAAACGCTGCCATGAAAACGATCAGGCATGTATTGTAAGATCTGAGCAGAGGGCACTCCATGTTTATCTCAACCACTGAGAAGAATGAAACTCAGCCAAGCATGTGTGACCCCTTTGCTCCATACTATAAAACCGGTACAGTGGTGCCTCGCTTAACGGGTGCCGGCCAAGCGTGTGTGACCCCTTTGCTCCATACTATAAACCCGGTACTTGCAACCAAGCTATAAATGAGCCTTTCTTAAACCCTGTGGCTTTCTTATGGAGAGAGGGGAATTATAAACATTAGCTGGTGACTGACTATCAATAAAATCATAGGAATCCTTTGCCCAATAAAGATGGTAACACTTGCTCTATAGATGGCACAATGGAGAAGGCTGAAAGGGGAAAACTCTTGCCTGGACTGGAGGTTTTTTATTCTGGAAAGCATATCCAGGTGTCCCGCTGAGTACTGCTCAATGACATCCATGACATCGTAGGGTCTCAAGCTCTCCTTGAACTTCCGCTTGGAAACCAGAAATTTCATAACACTGAAGGAGAAGGGAGGAGAAGGACAAATGGAAACTTGTAACGCTGATAGCTGTCAGATCGTCAAACAAAATTTCCCGACCGAAATTCAAGAAACTACATCACGCCCAAACTCAGAAGTCCCAGGGTGGGTGGGTTGTTAGTGTCTCTGACATACATGGGACTCCAAAAGCCACCCAGATATAAATGAGCCTTTCTTAAACCCTGTGGCTTTCTTATGGAGAGAGGGGAATTATAAACCTTAGTTGGTGACTGACTATCAATAAAATCATAGGAATCCTTTGTCCAATGAAGACGGTAACACTTGCTCTATAGATGGAGAAGGCTGAAAGGGGAAAACGCTTGCCTGGACTGGAGGTTTTTTATCCTGGAAAGCATATCCAGGTGTCCTGCTGAGTACTGCTCAATGACATCCATGACATCGTAGGGTCTCAAGCTCTCCTTGAACTTCCGCTTGGAAACCAGAAATTTCATAACACTGAAGGAGAAGGGAGGAGAAGGACAAATGGAAACTTGTAACGCTGATAGCTGTCAGATCGTCAAACAAAATTTCCCGACCGAAATTCAAGAAACTACATCACGCCCAAACTCAGAAGACCCAGGGTGGGTGGGTTGTTAGTGTCTCTGACATACATGGGACTCCAAAAGCCCAACTGGTTGCTTTGTAAGACTTTTGGGATGTGTAAGTTATACTACAAAAAGTTTTGTACATGCTTATTTTAGTTTGTAGGTTTTGCTTAATAATGTAAACCCCCAATAAAGATGGTAACACTTGCTCTATAGATGGCACAATGGAGAAGGCTGAAAGGGGAAAACTCTTGCCTGGACTGGAGGTTTTTTATTCTGGAAAGCATATCCAGGTGTCCCGCTGAGTACTGCTCAATGACATCCATGACATCGTAGGGTCTCAAGCTCTCCTTGAACTTCCGCTTGGAAACCAGAAATTTCATAACACTGAAGGAGAAGGGAGGAGAAGGACAAATGGAAACTTGTAACGCTGATAGCTGTCAGATCGTCAAACAAAATTTCCCGACCGAAATTCAAGAAACTACATCACGCCCAAACTCAGAAGACCCAGGGTGGGTGGGTTGTTAGTGTCTCTGAAATACATGGGACTCCAAAAGCCCAACTGGTTGCTTTGTAAGACTTTTGGGATGTGTAAGTTATACTACAAAAAGTTTTGTACATGCTTATTTTAGTTTGTAGGTTTTGCTTAATAATGTAAACCACCCCTACTATGTCAGGTGGTTTAGAAGTTCACTCAATCAATCAATCAATCAATCAATCAATCAATCAATCAATCAATCAATCAATCAATCAATCAATCAAACTGCATTTGCTGTCATGCAGACTGAAGTCTGTCATTACAACTTCCAAGGTTGGGTCTCACTGTTTTTTGCTATAATCTTTCTTCCATCACACCCATCTTGCTCCAGACCCCTGGGGTGGGTGATGGGAAGGCTGTTTTTCGGTCCCTGTGTGAGAAAGAGGATCAAAACCTTCTTTGGGCAGTTTTAATGGGTAAGGAAAGAGAATTTAGCTGATCAACCACATTTTCTTTTTCTACTAAGTGGAGGTGGTGGTATCACAGAAGCCATAAATAAGCCTAAGGGGTGGAAGATACAGCATACGGGTGTGGATTCCGGCTCTACGGGTATCTTTCCATCGTAAAGATGGCACTTTTGTTATATAACATCGTGTTGAGATCCTGTGAATTAATGACCACCAAAAAAGTCTTATCATTAGCACTCCTTCTCCAAGTCTTGCAAACTGAAGGCTTTGGCTACCTTTATTAAGACCCTTTCTTGGATACACACCTGAACGTGGTGAAAGGGTTCGAATGTATTAGGAAAAACTTCTTAACTGTTAGAGGAGTATGACTATGGAACCAATTACCTCGGGAGTTGGTGAGTACTCCAGTGCAAGAGAAAATTGGAACAACATCTGTCAGATCTGCTCTGATTCGGATTCCTGCATCAAGCAGGGGGGTTGGCCTCTTCCAACTCAGCTATTTTATGATTCTTTGATTCTATGGAAACTGATAGCATTACTGTCAGGAGGGTGGACTCCATTAAGAGTCTTGGCAGGGTCATCTAAGGTCGAATGGTCAAAGCTGAGACCACCACCACCCCCAAGACGAAGATGGGTCCATCTTCTTTGGAAACAGTCCCATCTGCAGATAGTTTCAATGGCAACAGGGGGCAGAGAAGCTCCGGAAGAAAAGCTACTGCACTGCAATCATAATAGGTGACACTAATGGAGGATCTTTCACAAACAGCAGAAGCAGCACGGTAACTCTCGTTAGTGCTGCTCAGAAGGTGACAGGTTAAGTCACTTCTGAATATTTCATACCATGAAAACTCTGTGGTGAAACAATCCAAAATGAAAAGCTGGCACTGGTGCTCATTACTAAAATAAAGAAGCTGTTCCTCCATTCTAATTTCAGTTCTGAAGCCGAACACATCTCTCCTCTGCCCAGCGATATTTTTTTAGGATGAGAGAGAACCTCACTCCACAGCACTGAACTCTCCAGTGTTGCTCAGCAGTGCTCCTATTTAATATGGTCTCACCCCCCCAGGCGCATAGTCTTCCCTTACCACACCGCTCTGATGCTGACTTTAAGACCTGGTGTCAAATCTTCTGTTACAAATTCACAATTGCAGGTCTTGTTATCAGGATCAGGCATATCTTCTCCAGGGAGGCTTGCTTCTGAGGAAGGAAGGAAGGAAGGAGTGTTGCTCAGCAGTGCTCCTATTTAATATGGTCTCACCCCCCCAGGCGCATAGTCTTCCCTTACCACACCGCTCTGATGCTGACTTTAAGACCTGGTGTCAAATCTTCTGTTACAAATTCACAATTGCAGGTCTTGTTATCAGGATCAGGCATATCTTCTCCAGGGAGGCTTGCTTCTGAGGAAGGAAGGAAGGAAGGAAAGGAAGTGCTGTGTCATGATGTGAACTGGCAGCCAATCATGGGACAAAAGATTCAAGGGGCCTAATGATTGTGATTTCTGGGAGAGCTTGGGCTTTTCAATGGTGTTCAAGCCATCAACTTCCCTTTGCTTTGAGCTTCCCGGTTCAACTAAATAATTACTTTCATTTTCTGAGCAAGACTCATTGGCACCAGGTGTATTTTCCTTCCCACCCAGCTCATTGAATTAGAGTTGTGGAGAAGTATCCAGTAAAGTTTTTCTTAATAACTGGCAGCCTGAGAGTTTTTTTCAAATGGATTGCTATGCTCTGTTGTTTTTAAATGTGTTTTTAGTATTGATTTTATTTACTGCTTTTAATGCAATACTTGTTTAAGTCTGTTTAAATATTTCTACACTTTCTGTTTTTAGCTTCCTTTTAGTTCTGCACGCTGCCTTTGGTCCTTTTAAGGGGTGAAATGTTTAAAATAAATAAATAAACAAATATTCAGGAAATATTGCAAAGGGAACGCTGTGCAATTGGCTACATTTCCCCCCTTTTCCTTCCTGTGTTTGGTTAAGAGCATATTTATTTAACTGATATTTTCAGAAAATATCAAACGTTCAAGGAGGGACTGCAAGAACAACATAAATAAACCCACAACCGTACCAATAGAACCATCCCCATCTTAAAGGAGAAAAACACAGAGGTTTTTTTCAGATGGAAAACGAACACAGTTGTTCAATGTCTGAACAGAAAGAACAAAGTGACCTTTAATACAGTCGTGCCCAGCTTTATGATTACCCCTTTTAACGACGAATCCGCTTGATGGTGAGGTTTTTTTTCAGATGGAAAACAAACACAGTTGTTCAATGTCCGAACAGAAAAAACAAAGTCGCCTTTAGTACAGTCATGCCCCGCTTTACGATTACCCCGTTTAATGACGAATCCGCTTGACGGTGAGGTTTTTGTGATCGCTTTTGCCATCAGAAAACGATGGTTTGAATGGGGGTTTTTCGCTCTGCAATGATCGGATCCCTGCTTCAGGAACCCTGGATCCCTGCTTCGGGAACCGATTTTTGCTTTACGACGACCAAAAACAGCTGATCGTCGGGTTTCAAAATGGCCACCGGCTGAAGAAAATGCCCCCCTCCGCCTTGCTTAGGGGCAGATTCCTCGCTGCACAGGCATGGAAAATGGCCGCCTCTATGGAGGATCTTCCCTGGATGGTGAGTTTTCAGCCCATTGGAACTCATTGAATTGTTTTCAATGCATTTCAATGGGCTTTTTTATTTCGCTTTACGACGTTTTCGCTTTACAGCGATTTCGCTGGAACGAATTAACGTCGTCAAGCGAAGGACCACTGTACCTTCCTGAAGAGAGTAACTGAATAAGCTTTCCGAGGTTCATAATTTGACACTGACAGGGCCAACAACAGTGGGCACTTCCAAAACCAAGCACATTGCAACCAATTCAACAGCGTCCTTCCACTCCACCTCCTCCACATTGTGAACTGCCTCACCTTCCGAATTCTGGCGGGATGCGGCTCCCTTGATGCGGAAAGCTTGCCGGGCACGGGTTCGGTCTCCAAAGCTCCAGCTCTTAGGAACTTTGCTCGGGCTCTCTTCTATACTCTGATCAGCGCTGGGGGACCGTCGGATACCCGGGGCCTGAGGAGAACCTTTACCTTTCGTGGCCGTACCTCTGGGGCTGGAGAAGACACGATCTTTCAAGCTGACCTTTTGACTGTGCACAAGAGACCAATCGAGAACAAGACCAAAAAGAGAAAGAGAGAGAGAGAGAGAAGGAGGGAGGAGGAGGAAGGGAAGGAGGGACGGAGGGAGGGAGAGAAAAGCAAGGAAGGGAAGTCACTCCAGAAGGCCATGGCGGCTCCCCTTCAGCCATTCAAACTCAATTGTCTTTCAAAGCAGCAGCATAGAAGCAGCGGCAGTGAGATGTGGCTTTAACGCTAACTTGGTTCCAAAAAAGGCATCTCCGGAAAGGTTTCCATGGTGATGGATGAAGATGAGGTGGGGGGTCGTTAATTGAGGAGGGAGGAAAATGAGGAACGGACATGTCAACAGAAAATGACCGTGGAATCAGAGAGATTGCTGAGTGGGAATAGGAAGGCTGGCAGATGGATTTTGGTATAAAGTACCAGAACAGGACAGCTGTATAAGGGAAGATAGGTATAAAGATCAACGGTTCGAAATCTGAATTCTTCTCCATCTGTGAGTACAGCAGGAAAGGCATGTCTCGAACAAACCTGTCATAAATGATTCTTTTGCCATATACTATCCTAAAGAGCTTGGATCAACCAATTTCCAAAGGCTTTGGTAATCAAGTTTTGTATCACCGTCAAGACGGAGTCATTCATTTTGAAAAAAAAAACATATTTCACAGACACACTGAGAGTCTTACCCAATTCAAGAGGACCCTGTTGAATTTAAAAATATTTGAAAAGCTTTCTTCAAAACACTGCCATCGAAGGCTTTTAGCATAAACTTCATTTAACCCTAACCTTTACACCAACTGTTCTGCTTTGTCATCCTGCCCCAACATCGACTATCTTCTGATACATCTTACCACATCCATTTTCCTACACCAAAAAGGAGGGCTATCTGGCTAATTTCTCTGTCACACACAAAAAAGCCACTTGAGTGATGAAACATTGGTCTTCCTAGGGTTTTTATCAGTCAGATTTCCCAAGTTCCTTTCTGAATATTTATTGCCCGGATTACAGCTTCTCCTTAATAATTAAGCTGTAGGCTTCTTTGATGATGGCACTTTTCATTGCATGAATGCTGCAGTCATGTACCATATCACTCTAAAAAAAAACAACTTCTGACAAGGACGGGAATACAGGATATACTTACTAGTGGCTTCTTGCCAGGAAAGACATCCAAAGCAACCCATCTAGGGATCAAACTAGACAATGCTCTTGGCACATATTTTCGAAAATAACCCCCTGTCCTCAAAGTGGTAGAAGACACATACTGTACTTGTCATGGCTTTTATTTTTCTCCATAACTTACATTTAGCATGTTTTGTGTGTGTATGTGTGAAATTGGTCAAATCAGGGAAACACAGGCTTAATTGGCAAGCCTAATTACTGAGGTCATGTGTCTATTATGTACCATCAAGACATATCTGACTTTTGGTGACCCTAATAGGATTTTCAAGGTATGTGAGATGTTGACGAAGATATTTTCTTACTTCCACTCCCTACTGAGTTTTCGTGCCTGAGCAGGGACTTGAACCAGGTCTCCTGAGTTCTAGTCTAACACTCGATTCACCACGTGACACTGGTTCTGACCAAGGGACATATCTTGGAAGAATGGAGGAGGAGGGTGGGTTCATCTCAAGGAATACAAACTCCCTTAATGCCTGCTTCGATGCTGTGCTCAGATACTAGCAGATGCCAAGAATTAGCAGGATGGTGACAACACCGTGTCATCATCAATTGGGGAATGGGGTAGGACTAGAAAAGGGTCTAGAAAAGTCTAGAAAAAGGTGATCTCCAGTACAGGGTGCTTGGATTCAGTAAGTCAAGCCTAAAGTGCAACAGAAAGGGAGTGTTTCTCTATTGACCAAACAAAAGTGGGAGAGCAGCTTCCATTATTTATTTTTTTGTTATGCGTAGGCTAGGTGCTCTATGTCAATCACAGGACTGGTGCTATGCTCATATTGGAGGTACGGCATTTTATACTTCAAGAGCAGATCTATGTCAAGGGTTGGTCCATCAGGTGCTGTTGGGTTACCAGCATTCCTCACCACTGGCATTGCTGCCTGGGGCTGAGGAGAGTTATGATCCTGTTCTCCATGGAAGTCTGGACTTTGCTACCCACCTGCTGCTCTGGGGCCTATGCAGAGATTCCATGTTAACTCATGAGGTTCCTGCTCTTGGTTCAACCTTTAATTCTGAACTTCTCAGTAGTGTACAAACAGCCAGTGACAAGGGACAGACGGCTGGCTTACAAAGCCTACTATTCTGGTCCAGCATGGATGCACCTTTTTCCTTAAGTGCTGGCATGTTTAATATCTGCTTGCTTCCACAGCATACCTTTTTCTGCCCTCCCTACTGCATCTCCTCCCACCCTGCACCGGATGTGTGAATCTGTGAAAAGGACATTTTGTACCACACGAAGAAACAATAAGCAGAAGAGGGGATTTGACATCAGAGAGAAAAAAGGTGTATCTATCCTGCAGGCTTTCTGTTTCCGATTTCATATTCTGGAAGCTGCTTTTCTTAAGCATATGGTATAAGGACTCTATTGTGTGCCTATATTTGTAATAGATGTTTTTAAAAGAAGGCTAGTTTTAAATCTCTCTACCTAGGCACCATCGGCCATTAGATATTTAACACACAGGGGCACTTGGTTAGGCAGGAAAGATCCTTTGGTTTTGCATAACCTATGATGGAGCACTAAGACGGGCTAGTTATTAAAACCTGCTTTATCAGTTATTGCTCCTCCCGTTGATCTGCTCATCCAGAATACAGAACGGTCCTAAATTCAACAGTAGGGCAGGCAGTTTGTGTGCAAGTCCCTAGAGCGACCCCTGGCATCTCCAGCTAAAGAGATCACATAGCAGGAGATGCTAATCAAGCAACTAATGTTAAACTAGATAATGGTCACATAAGCATTTTCCTGTGGTTGTATAATCAGGATCTTCTCACCCCACATGAAATGTCTACTAAGACCTAAATCATTGACTGGGCATTTATTTTATATGAAGGGTTCCTTCCGACAGAATGGTCAACAGGTCCCATAAATGGGGACCTGTGGCTCTCCCAGTCTTTTTTTGAGGGGAGGGGGCTCCGATTCCTATTATTTCTGATCGTAACTCATTTCATTACGACGATCTCAAGAGTGTGTTCTCAAGAAAAAGTTTTCCCTAACTCTGCTAACAATGAGTCCATGGATAAAATGTGGAACTGTGCATATAGATGTTCAGTGTGTTATGCCCTCTCCTGGACAAAGCTTCCTAACTAAAGTCAAAGAGACCCATCTGGAAAGAGAGCAATTGGGCCAGTAAAGAGCTTTACAAAGTGTCTCCAAGACCCTCTAGTAATAGGGGAGGAAGGAAATTATTCTCTCAAGGTTCCTAAACAACTCCTGAGTATATTCACTGCTGGAAATTCACCATATACCAGGGCCAAACACATAAAGAGTACCCCCTGGCTAGGGCCTGGGAGAAAAGAAATCAACCTTTTGTTTTCTAGAGGAACATGGGGGAAGCAAGCAGACAAATGGAGAACAATTTAAGGCTGATGTTATAAGAATATGCCGGCTGTAACAGCTTGTACTGCACTGATCAGCAGAGAAAATTTTTGCTTAGGAGGATATTTACAAAGGCACGCAGGATCTCCCATGTAGCTGCCATATGAAAGCTTATATCTGGACAGATACTCTGATCCCAAACTGAGAGATTGGACAGGACTGAAAAGACAATCGATTCCTTCCTAAATAAGGTGAGCCGGCACAGATCCATTTACAGTGGCCTAGCCCTAACCGTCTGCCGCTGAGATGCTGTAACAGATCAGCAGGGCAGAGCCCTACTCTCAATACAATAAAAGTGGCATTCCTAGAGGGAAGCCCTCTGCCAGCATCTTTAGTGCCATTGTTTCGTTCATTTTAGGCTATCAGGATTATCAAAGTCGTACTGCTGCACTTGGGAGATGACGCAGAAATCTTCCAAATAAAATCCGAGGTTAATTAGGTGGAACTACTAGAGGACTGTGATGCAATCCTCGAAGAGCCATTATTCCGGATGAAGAGAACGTGGAATGCTTTCCAAACCTCCTGGCATTACAGAAAAAACAACTAAATCATTCATGATACAGTCAGGCTTGCAGCTATGTTAAGAGTTCTTCAGCCAAAACTACTGGTTTCCAAGTTAAATTAGCTTGGAAAGTAGATCTTGCAGGCAGATTTAAGCAGGGTGCAATGCAGCCGGGAAGAGTAAGTGAACAGAGGAGGGCAAAAATTGCAGCCGCCTGCAGCTGAATCGGGACTCCAGTTCCATCAATAGCTGGAGAGGCCCAGAAGAGTTTAAGTCTAAATCTAAATTTTCACCATGCTTCGCTCATATACTGTGAAACAGCATTGTCCAGAATAGAAGCAAAATAACTGGAATGAATGAGGGTGCCTCTCCTTTCAAAACGGGAGGCATATTTATTTGAAGGTGGAGGTGCCCAAGCCCGATCAGGAGCAGTCGAGAATAGCTGTTTTGAGTTTGAACAAAGTGTTGTCATTTTATCTTCAAGGAAAGAAGAAGAAGAAATGGGTTGTATTTATGACCCAAATGAAAAAAAAAAACATAGCAGCTATAACTCAGTACCACTAGCTATTAAGGATGAAACTATTCCACAAAAACCACCAAAGACAATGGCTGAAATCCTGTTGCTTATTATAGCAAGTCACACTAGAGTAGGCCCATTAAATCAGTGGGGATTTGGCAAGTCAATTCCTTTGTAAGTTCCATTGATTCAAACGGACCTACTCCAACTGTTATTTACTAAACAAAGTAAAATACAGTTAGAGTATACACCTTTGAAGCAACGGAATGTGTGGAGGCGTTGACTTACCAAATCTCCATTGGTTTAATGGGCCTACTCTAATGAAATTTGATTCCAATCAGTATGTATGTCTGTTAGTCGCTTTAACCAATATGTAGCAGAAAAGGAGTGTTGAAGTTGAAACATATCTAGCACATTTTTAAGTTCTATTTTGGAAACACCTTCCTTAACCTCTCTCGTTGTCTATGAGATCAGAATAAGGTGCCAGAAGTCCAAAAATGATTTTATTTTACTCTTTTAAGTTGAAACTGTGTCATCATGCTTATGGGTAATTTCACTCGTGCCTTAGAATAACAAACACTATGAAACCAAAAGCCAACCATCTTGGAAAAGAAACATTCCCAATGTTGGAACCAGATGCTGGATTCCTACTAGGTCAGAAGAACCTCGGGGTATAATTTGAGTTAATAGGGTTCAACACTGAAAGCTTGCCCTTGAATGAGCACATATCAAAATTCAGCATTCCACAGCTTCCGATCCAGCCAGGGAAAGAATAAGCAACAACAAAACCTTGGAACATGTGTCTTTTTCTCCTCTCCCACTTACAGATGATGAGATTTATGAGCAATGTGAACGCAACCTTGTCTTCATAATTTAGCATCTTCCTTGCTACTAGTACTTTCAATCAAATTTAAAAGGAAAGAGATATACATAGTTGGGACACTAAATTAAGAAAGCCAGTGCTCTTGTCATTTTGAAATAAAAGACGGATGACTTGAGCTAAATTGGATTCCAACACACTGACATGCATCAATCACATTTTTGCAAGCATGTGGTGTTTTCAATCTGGCCTTGCACTGACTCATTAACAAACCAACAAACCATAGGTCTACTGTTCAGAGGATGCAGAGGGAAGAACTCAGTAAACATACAGCATGCAAAAGCCACATAAGAGTTTAGTTTTTGTTAGAGTAGAGGGGACTTCGCCATAGACAAAAGAACAGTCACTTTTAGATGCCTTAAAATTTAAGCAGGCTGCCAGTTCCATATGAATGTCAGACTGCTGTGTCAGGAAACGTACATCATTGCCAAGTCTTTGCGGCTCATCTAACTGTCACAGTCAGCTGGGTAAGAGATGCTGCATGAACTGGAATCTGTAGTTCAGATAACTTTGTTTCCACTCATCAAGAGTGCCCGAGCAATCGTAACTGGAAGTATATACACATCCACTAAAAGGGGAATCTGTGGCAGAAATGGACTAAAGATTAGTTATCTGTGGCTGCGTAGTAGAAGTGCTGGAAGAGCCAGGTTGTCTTTTTAAATGCCCCTAGAACAGGTGCACAATGCAGAACCCATGCACACCTGTTGAGCAACATTTAGAGACATATTATCCAGTGGATGTTCAGAAGTCAACCCATGTACTTCAGAATTCTAATCCAGTGGTACCTTGACTTATGAACTTAATCCGTATTGGAATTAAGTTCGTACATTGAAAAGTTCATAAATTGAGTCGATCTTTCCCACTGGAATGCACTGAAAACCATTTAATCCGTATCTGCTGTTTTCCGTTCCTATGTCGAGGCTCCGTTCGCAGGTCGAAGCAAGTTTTTACAAACAGAGCCGTTCATAACTCAAATCGGTTGCAAGTAGGGACGTTCATAAGTCGAGGTACCACTGTACTTCAAAATTCTAGCATCGATAATAAACTGGGAGTTTTCACATCGGATTGATTCCAGCATTCATATTTTCCAAAAACGTGGTTGTTGGACTTGAAGACTTGGTTTCTGTCATCACCACCGGTCTCAAACCTGCCATGGAAGATGGTGGTGAGATGACACACTTCCAAATACCTTCTCTTACAATGGGGTCCATGATTAGTCTAATTCAGAAGGCAAGGAAGCTCTCAGGGTCAGTTTTGCATCAAAGGACATCGCAGAGGTACTTCCTAGCTCACTGAGCACCTCTATTAAGCAGATGAGTGAACAGAACAGAAGGTAGCAAGGGAAAGAGAGAGAGAGAGATCGAGAGAGAGAGAGAGAGAGAGAGAGAATGAGCCGTGCAGCTTTGGATTAGTTCAGTGCAAAGCAAATTCCTGTGGTACCTAGAGTTTCCTGAGCAGCATCCACAAAGTGACTTTCTGCACGGATTGCTTTTACTGGAAATGAGGGGAGAGTAGAAAAATTAGACCAAACGGCTCAAGCCAAACAGGAATCTGTGATCAACGGTAAAAAGTAACGGGGAAGGCCAGATTCGTTATGGAAAGTTCAGATTGGAGTTGGGAGTTTTACTACCTTATGCAAAGCGCAATCACAACAGGGCTTGTAGAAAGATTTGCAGTAAAAAATAGTACAGAAGGACCACGGTATCCACGGAATTGGTATCCACTGATTCATTTATCTGCTGCCTGAATATATTAAATAACTCCTCAGAAATAAGTAGGAAACACATATGTATGTCTATATGTATTTCCAGGGTGTATTTACCAGAACAAGCCACTAGAGAGAGCAAGAGGTCACACAATGTATAGTGTTCCATACTTTCTCGTTTTTTTTCCCAGCATCCATGGGGAGGGGCAGTCGCTTGCCACTAATCCCCTGCGGATACGGTGGTCCCATTGTACTACAAATAACTAGGTTATTTAATTCATTTGTAGTACATCCCTTCTGCATTAGAAATGAGAACATCACTAAGAGCCCATGAAGCCCTTGCAAATGAATATGTAGCCTGCATAATTAAACTGTAAACTACCCATAGAATACTTCAAGCACTATGGGATGGTATATCAGAAGCACAAGGTATGCCCGCAAGATAATTTTGCACGTTTCCTTTGCAATTGTTTTCACCTCTGCATAATAATCATTACTGGCATTTTTCAGAAATGTTTACCGTCCACCTTCCAATGCAACATAGGGAGTAGGGTTGGGGGTGCGGTGGTCTCCGTATAATTTAATTTACGTATCCTGCCTTGATTCCTGTCCCAGTTTGAACTATGTAGTCATCCTCCTCCTCTAGATATGACTCAGAGGCATTTTCTGATCTCACTCATTCATTTCTTCTTCCCCATCTATTCAACCTAGTCATATACTCCATTCAATCTTGAATGACTTTGACACTGTTATTCTATTTCCGTTTGCTTATTACTGTCATTTGTTGTGTTGGAAAATACAGGTACTGTGTTTCCCTGAAAATAAGACAGGGACTTATATTAAATTTTGCTCCAAAAAAAGCTTTAGGGCTTATATTCAGGGGATGTTTTATTTTTTTTCATGTACCACCATTTACATTTATTCAAATGCAGTCATGTCATCTTCTTCTGGTTGCTGCACAAGGGTGGAGGGCGGGGGCTTCACTTCACTGGGGCTTATTTTGGGGTAGGGCTTCTATGACGAGCATCCTGAAAAATCCTACTAGGGCTTATTTTCAGGCGAGGTCTTATTTTCGGGAAAACAGGGTATATTTCCTCTAGCATTAGATGGTTAAAGGCTTGTGAAAGGCACAGAGCCTAAAATTAGTGAATGACACAAAAAGAAGTTGGTGAGAACAGCCTTGCTGAGCACAAAATGGGACCAAAGAAGCTCTTATGTGACTCATGCCTCTCTGGCTCCCTTCATGCTCCTTCTAGTAGCACAGACAACAAAGCCTGTATGTATGCATCTTGAGAAGGCTGCAAGGTGGAGAGGAAGATCAGGGAGACTGAAACCACCGTGATGCCAGTTCACCTCTTCTTTGTATGAACTGCTTCCAGAAACAGAGAGAAAGACAGAAAATAATAATAAATATCCCATGTCTCTTATGATGTCCAGTTTGGCTTGAAGACCACCTTTTTTTTCAAATAAGCTTTTCTGATACATTGCAGGGCATATCACTGTTATCACTACGTATTATAAATGCTCGGCCACATTTAAAATGCAGAAGGGCAATGTGCTTTGTTTGCAGGGGAGAGATACAGTACTTTGAACTTGCCATGTGGAAGCCTCCATTTTGGTAGGAGAATGGATGGGCAGAGTTCCTTCTGCTTTGCAGCCTACACCACAAGTTCAAATGGAATCCACCCTCTGATTCTCAAGGGCGTCTGGACTCATTTTCCCAGCAAGCACCTGTAGTCTTTGGCTGTGGGAATAGACAATGCCAAATAAAATGATACAGGGCGCCAGTCTACCTCTTTGAACACTAGGCCAATGGACACACACATACGCATACCATGAATCTCCTGTAGACAGAGTCAAATACATGACAGCTATCTCGAAATTTGTGGAAGACAGGAGGGTCTGGCGTGCTCTAGTCCATGGGGTCACAAAGAGTCGGACACGACTTAACGACTAAACAACAACAGACTGGAAATTTTCCAGATTGCCAGTCTGTCTGCAGCTCCTTCTAGTTCTACTCTCCAGGAAAGAGTCCAAAAATTGGGCTATTCTATCAGCTGGGTGCAGAACATTCTGACCTACGAGTACTTGTGGAAACTGTTCCATATCAGTGGAAATATCCCAACGGAAACTAGGGATTGGCTTTCTTCTCCCTACTGCAACCACTGCTGCTGCTGCTCAGTACACACTTCTAGAAACCTGCCCCATAACATTTGCCTGGCCTTTTGTTGTGGTGGAAGGGAATAATTAATTCTCACTGAAGATGCCAAATCAAGTAGAAGTCCGTGAATATACCAAACACACACACACACACACACAAAACAAAATACCCTCACCCAGGAAAACCAATTGGTGCACATCCTTAAGTGCAGTGCTCCTTGCCTCTAACCTAGTCATATGTTAAGATTAAGAAGCAAATGCACTTTGACATCTCTGTTACACTGACTGGATTATGAAGAAGGAGCAAGATGTTTCCGTTCCAAAAATTAAGACCTAGAGGGAGAACGAGGATGGGGTGCAGAGAATGCCACCTTTGGACGGGAGGAAGTCTTCAAAAGCCACTTAGGTCAGCCGCTTGGGCCAATCAATTACTCTAAGTCACACCAGACAGGGTTCTTGTGAAGAAACAGAGGGAAACTGGGGTGGAGCTGAACTGCTTGAAGCCAAGGTGGGATAAGCACACTATGAACACAAGAGAATGCGATACATTAAAAGACAAAAGCAACACGGCTGAAAAGCAGCGGAAGAAGCCAGAACTTTCATCTTCCTTGGAAATTGTGCTACATACACACAAACACATCTGAGCACAAGACACCACCGCTGACCACCATTTTGGCCTCCCTCCGTGTTTGGCAACATGGATGGAGAGAAGTGGGTGAAACGGGTAGAGGGACGTTCCGACAAGTATTGACGTCCTAAATTGTTAAGGGGAAAACCTCTAGAGTGAGCTACACAACAAGATGGGCAAGGCTGGAGTCAACAGTGGATAGGGCTCATTGTTTGCCAGGCTGGACCACAGATGGCAGGGAGCACAAATTTTCTTTTCTGTCTCCATCTTCCTCTCTCTCTCTCCTTCCCCTTTCCTTCTATCACTCCAACCTCTCTCTCTTTCTTTTTCTCTCCCTCCCTCTTTCTGTCTCTCTCTTCTCTTCTCCTTCTCTTTTCTTCAGGGCCAAGGAAGGATAATTTCAGGCTTAATCCAAATGCACCATGAAGCATATTTTTCAACAGGGTAGCGATTGCCCACCCTTATTTTACAAGTTCCAGAAAAGAACAGTGTTTGTAGAGAAGAACAATGCTGTATTTCTCCTACCGCATAGCTGATGGAAATTCTGAGCTGAAAAGGATCTCTACATAACACTTGCTTCTCCGTATACTAATTTTTTTACTTATTATGTAGTCTTATTAGCCTGTAGCTGTTCACTTGCCTTCATGCTTTAAAATCATTTCTGAAGATGGTATAAAGGTCAAAGTCTTGAAATGTTAAAATTTTGACTACAATTCCCAGAATCCTCCAAGCATCCTGGCCAGAATTATATTATGTGGGGAATTCTGTGAGCACTGGTACAGAAGATAAATCATCCCAGCTCTCTCTACAGCCTTATGGAATTCTGTAAGTTATAAAATTTAAGAATCAGGCTTATATAATACAGTGTTCAAAAGCAAATGAAATAAGATACAGATTTGAAATAGCCAGTTCTCAGAGCCCCAAAATCACCCTTAGCTTCACTGCAGAAACAAAGCCACTGTAACTGAAGCAATTCTGTAAGTCTGACAGACAGGAATTATCCTCATTCAGCTCTGCATGAAGGTCACCACTGCATCTTCTCCACTGGGTCCATAGTCCAATAAGTTGACAGCAGGAAGACAATCGATAGGCGTGTTTCCTTCAGATACGACTAACCCTGAAGAACAGGGCATGGAGGCACTGTGACGAACCTCAGCCACACTTGCCAAAAAAAGCTGCAACTTACTGCAAATGTGGGAAAGCCAGATTTTATGTATTGCAAAAATCTGCATTTTGAAGCGAAGAGTTCCATAATTCCTTTGTGAGGTGTGCAAAAGAGCTGACCTAGGAAGGGGGACTGATATGCCTTTTTTGTTCTCTGCCTCACAATGAGGATCTGCGTACTGGAAAACAATGGTATCCCGCCTATCTGGTCGTGTCAGGACCACTCTAGGCGGCTAACAACATGCCTCACGATGAGGATCTGCGTACTGGAAAACAATGGTGTGTGAGAAATGTGGGTGGGACATGGAGATCCTTTCTTTCATTGTTCGTGGGACCAAAAGAAAGGCAGAAATACAAGTGAGGGAAGAAGGGAATGCAAAGAATGACCAAGACCACATCTTTAAAACACTCTAGGCTCTCAACTTGGGAAACACAAGTCGAAAGGGGTCATGCCGGACTCTATTGGGCCCTTCCGTTTTCCATGTATGGGATTACGCCCAGTCTTCCCAAGGCAATCACGACCTGACTTTTGAAACCCATTACCGAATGTACATATGCCACATCTCAACCTCGGTTTTGATGCTGCCGCAGCCCCGACTCCAGAGACTCACTCAGCTAAATGGCCACACTGCCACTAGAAAGAAGGAAAACATGATCGAAGGACCACCATGACGGTTACGGGCAAGGCATGCGGACATAGGTTTCACAGCGAGGGACCAGCAAGTTGAGAATTTACAATGTTTATTTGAATGGCTCTCAGCTCCTTGTCGCCACGAGCATCACACGCATGACACACGGGAACACAAACTTAGAAAAAGAAGGAGAGAGAGAGAGAGAGAGAGAGAAAGGCATGAGAAAGCATGAGAATGGACTCTCTGAAAACATACAGACCTTGGAGACGGCTAGGGTTACTGCTCTTTCCTTAAACAGAAGCAAAAGGACATTATCAATGGAGTCTGGTGAGAAAGGCGCACTACATAACACACTTTGAGACACACACAAAAAAGACAGACAATGACCCACAAAACACAATGACATAGCAGGAAAATGAAGCCCATATGGAGGAAAGCCAAGAGGTCCACACAGAACCCTACATGATACAGCAACCACATAAAATAAGAAGTACTCTGCATCATCAACCTCCTTCAACCATCTCCAGATGTTCTGATCTCCAATTCCCACCAACTCCGCATTATATACCCAATGGTAAATGAAGATGGGAGATGTAAATCAGAACACTGGAGGGCCAAAAATTTCCTGCTTCTCATGTAAGGAAAAAGGTGGGGGAAAGTTACTTTGGGCCTACGTTAAGAGTCATATTCCTTCAAGGCTCCCTGAATTTCCACACAGGATACTCACACACCTTGTCTCCTAATGAACCCACCGGGAAAAGCAGAAAATCTACCGTGTTGCTGACTAGACTGGATGAACAATGAAGTAGCTTAAACATATTGAAGCTTAACCAGTCCGTGAATTGGTCTTATTAACCGAATCAGAAAAAGGTTCCCTCAAGACGGTCTGCACCCTTATTGAGACCTCAGCTCTCAAAACACACAGACACGCACACTGGGAGAAGGCAGGAGACACGAGAGAAAAATGTATGCGGAGCAAAAGTCATATATCTATATATACTTCCCTTGAAGACAATCAGAGCATTGGAGCTGTTACCTTCTTGTACCACAGCTCTAAAACAATTGTTGTACCAAAAAAAGCAAAATTTGCAAGTTCTAAAGGGAATACACTGGGGAAACCCTTGACTCAATTCAATATTTTTTGCCAGGCTGGACCACAGATGGCAGGGAGCACAAATTTCTTGTGGCTCCACCTGCCAAACTTTCATTCTTTTGTTCTTTCTTTCATTCATTCTTTCTTTCATTTGTCCTTTCTTTCTTTCTTTCCTTCCATTATTTTAGGTTCTCACCCTCGCCTCCTCTTTCTGCATTACTACTCAGGCAACCCTTCTTAGAACGATTACTAACCTGAACGTTAGTCCAGATTTGCTCTTCAGGTTCCTCAGAAGCTCCAGCTGATTCAAAGGAGGAATGAGTCTATATTGGAAGGAGCAGAAATCAGAGGAGAGGAAGTCATATTCAAACATCATGAGAAAGACAAAGCGCTGCCACTCCCAACATGGCGCGAGACCTTGCAAATATTAAACCTTGCAAATGCAGGGCTGAGAATGGTCACTTGTTCAGGCAGCTTCTAGAAACCC